ATATAAGGGTGTAACAAGGCTGAAATATGGCTTTAATGAACCAACACTGAGGGTGCAATGAAGCTGTAATGAGACTGAAATAAGATTGCAATAAGGTTGTTGTAATAAACCTTTATTAAGGAAAAATAAGGCTGCAATAAGACTGAAAGAAGGATGTAATGAGGTCATAAGAGCCAGCGTTGTACTATGCTGAGCCATACTATAATAAGCTTCTATTATAATCTACTGTGTAAGGCTATAATAAGGCTTAAACAAGACTGCAGTGAGACTGTTGTAATAAGGCTGAAATAAAGCTGTAATAAGGCAACAGTAAGAATGAAATGGGATCATCCGAGCCAGCATTCTACCACTTAAAGACGGAGGATTTCAGCAGGAGTTATGTAACAGCCTGCTGTGCTGTAAAAGACGGAACTCTCCTCAGGTATATTCACAATTCATGCTTCACTAATACACGCTCAGGTTGTAGAGCTTGTGCAGCAGCAGGGAACGCAGGCCGCGATGGTACAAACGCAGACGACTCTGTCGGAGAGTGTGTGTGTGAGCTGGAGAGGAAATGAATCATTGGATTTATCTAAAACCACCTCAGCGGCGTTTCCTGCTCCTCTCTCTCACCTCGTCAATACATCTGTTCACGCCTACGCTCAGTCAATACTCTCCAACTGCCCACACTCACCTCTGCTGACCCTCAGCCTCACCTCAAACACACAGCACTAGGTATGAATAATATATACCCCCAAAAGTTTGGGGACACCTTCTTCCAAAACTTGAATCTTCTCACTGTTTCTTTACAACTAAGCAAGAAAAAATACCAAAAATACCTGCACAGGCTCAGTTTATCGTAAAGCTACTCAGTGTTGATGCTTTGTGTGTATGTAGCTACAACCCTCAGCTTCAGGTTCATCAAAGTATCTTATTTTGTCTAAATCATGATGTTGACAGTTTTCTTTTCCAAACTATTGATAAAAGCTTACACTGAAACTCTTCTAACTTCTAAAGTTCTGATGACTGATGACATCACAACAAGGGAATACAAAGAGTTACGTACTGTTCATGTTAACATGTACACATAACTAATGAGGTATAGAAATACTGAATATAAATACAGCACATTTAGCTCAATTAGTTTTCATATTCTCACTTTTTTATATTTATTGTCTTTAATTGTCTATTTAATAGTCTTGTAGAATTAGTCTTTTTTTTTTCATTGGCTAATCTGAATGCTGCCATCTAATGATGAGACTCATCTTATTGCTTTATTTTAACTTTCTCAACTTATGTATTTCTTTTGCTGTGTGTTTTGTTATTGATGTTATTGTTATTTTACTGCTTTGCTGTTGTTTTGCTATTGCAGCCCAGAGCACAATAGGTTTTCTTTTCAGTCTTGGTTCCTCTCATTAAGTGTTCCTCATGCTCTTAGGGAGGTTCTCCTTTTGTGTCTTGGTTATTCCTCATGTTCTTAGGGAGGTTTTCCTTTTGAGTCCTGGTTCCTCTCAGTGAGTCTTCCTCATGTTCGTAGGGAGGTTCTCCTATTGAGTCTTGGTTCCTCTCAGTGAGTCTTCCTTATGCTCTTAGGGAGGTTCTCCTATTGAGTCCTGGTTCCTCTCAGTGAGTCTTCCTCATGCTCTTATGGAGATTCTCCTATTGAGTCTTGGTTCCTCTCAGTGAGTCTTCCTCATGCTCTTATGGGGGCTCTCTTTGAGTCTTGGTTCCTCTCAGTGAGTCTTCCTCATGCTCTTATGGAGGTTCTCCTTTTGAGTCTTGGTTCCTCTCAGTGAGTCTTCCTCATGCTCTTAGAGAGTTTTTCCTCATACTGTTACATTCGACTTGGACCTTCATATCTTGAAAACTATAAACTTAATTTTAAAAATTGTTACAACATCATTTCCTCAAAGTGCTACATGAATAATTTGAATTGTACTGGAAAAACAAAATTTGTGGTCTTTGGCAGTATTTCAAAAGTAATACTGTCAATAATATTTGGTGCAAAAATGTTTGCATGATACTGTTTTCCTCTAAATAAACTTGAACCTTTCATTAAGCATATATTATGTTCAGAAAACTCAACCAGAGGTATTTTTCTGAGTAAAGATGGCATTTCAAAAATCGCTAGTGAACACTGTTGCTGCTAAACTTATCCCAGAATGTACTTGCCTGCTTTTTCCAAGAAAGCTGCTGTATTTTTTACTTTGTGTGGATAAACAGGTGCCAACTGAGTGCCCTGTGAATAGGTGCATTCCTGTTGGGAGGTGTTGTGTGATCATTGGGGCCCACGATTAGGGGAAATGTCCCCTAATCCTAATGCAAGGCTTTAGAAAATCCATCATAGTGAAATTGCATTTAGCATCTGGAAAACAATAGTGGTTTGAAGCATGCAGTAGCTATGGTAACCAGAAAAACAACTGTGCTGTTTTTTGAATACGCATCTTTAACTTGATAGTTTTTGCCGTTTGGCCACAGCCGAATAATACTGGTCTTCTACAGATGGCAAGAACATGTGACTGCATGAGGTTCAGCTGACTTAATTTAGCATTTTCATTGTAGTTTAAACTAGAATTTTACTCAATAATGACACTCTCATTTGAATAGATTCAGAGCATGTTTTTAGTGACATGTCGAATTTAATTGATTTCCCCTTTTTTCCATATACGATCTGCTCATAATTTTATTAGAGATGACAGTACTGCAAAGCCATCACAGTATCTGTGGGACAATGTAAATGTTCCCTCAAAGGTACAACAGTGGTTTTAAGGTCCAATTGTAAACCTTAAATAAGCTTTTCCAGGTGAAAAGTACATATTTGTACCTTTTCATAACCGAATGTTTTAAAACAGAACAACAACATAAAAAGCCTGGAGACGAGACGGGGTGTGTGGAGTCAGTACAGTTTAGGAAATATAATTTCAACGGATTATGATACAATTATGTTCCCTGACTAAAGGTACTGAGATGTACCCTTGAGGGTACCACCCCAGTGACAAGAGGGGTACTGCCCCAGTGACATTTTTGCACCTGTAGCATCTCAGGAAATTATTGTGATTAAGATGACTTTATGAAACACTCAGCAAAAGTTTGACTCAGCCAAAGTACTCATATCTAAGATGTGGCTTACCTGCTGGGCTAATCCTAGTAGGAGTGTCCCAAAAAACAGAAGAAATGAAATCTCTGAGCCCTTATAGTGACTAAAGGAATATATTCAATATGCTGCTGATGATTAATTACAGAACACCTGATGCCATCCTGCATAGGATTACAGATTAACAGATTATAAATTAAATTTACCTTTAAAATGTGATATAGTTAGTGAGTAAAAGTGTTTTTGTCATGGCAAATTCTATGAGCAAAATGATCAGGCTTATTACATACTAGGGGTGCGTGAATGGGAGGAAAGCGGCTGTATGCACACGCTATGTTGCACACGTCCCATCTCAAAGATACTTTACTGACACAGCGATTCCCCCCGTCTCTACAATGAGACCAAAACCGAAGTTATAAAATCACTAAAGAAAATGGGTAGAATAGCTGTAACATGTGCTGCGTGGACGTCCACTGCCACTGGATCTTATTTCACCGTAACTGCACATTTTATCCCAGATGAGTGGCAGCAGCTTCTCGTGCTCCAAACAAGAGCACTGAATGAGAGCCTTCTAGTTCACTTGCCACATCACTTCCATTTGTTTTATAAAAAAGATATTGGAAGTAAATTCATTATGGATCATTACAAATACTTTGCTTTAAAAGTACCAAGTCACTTTAAATAACAATAACACCGAGTCACTTAGTCACTTTAAAATGTATATTGTCTCTACATTCTGTGTATATTTTGTGTGTATTTTGTGAATATTTAATATATTTCAGTTGTTTTTTCTTGTATTTTAATTTTTACTTATTTACTTTCTGTAGAGTGATTAGCTGAGCCTCACCACAAGCATTTTAATGCATAAATGTCCTGACATGTTGTGCAAGTGACAAATAAACTTGAAACTTGAACTTGAAACTTGAGCTCACACAGTGAGAAAATATAAATGCTATATAGAAAAAAAGATGCACATCGATAATCGTTTTATAATCGCATCGCAGCCCTCTGAATCGTAATCGAATCGAATCGTGAGGTGCCTAGAGATTCCCACGCCTATTACATACTAAGGCTTATTATTCAGTAACTACTGGTGACTTCAATGCAAACTAGCTGAGCTGTTCATAGATAGGAGTGTGTAATAGGCTCTAATAGGTATAAAAACTTGATAATTCAAATAAACAAAAGCACTATTTTTCCACCAGTCTCAACCTCATCACTACAGATCAGCACCTGATGATTGAATGTGATTTATAAATATGCTGATAATTAGTTAATTCTTTTTCTTAGCCATGTTTCTATTTGTAGTGAATGTAGCAGATGGTATTTTATATGTCAAAATAAAATAAAATGAAAAAATGAAAAGATGTATTTAAAATTAATTGCGATAGTTAAAGAGTTCAATACATTGCAATGATTGACTTGTAGCTCCAGAGCAAATATAAAGACATCAAACATGACCTGTATAATTAACTACACAAAAAATAATGGCTCTTGAAGGGCTCTTTAGTAAAGAAAAATGCATGATTAAAGGGTTCTTTGCATCGTGAAAGGGTTCTTGAGATTGATGGAAAATGTGCTGTATAATGGTTCCATATAGCACCAAAAATGTTTTTTATATTGTCAGCAGCTTGACATAAGAATAGCAGAACGCTTTCTGTTGCTGTATAGAACCATATACAACACGTTCACCATCAGCTGTTTCACCATGCAAAGAACTATTTAAGCACAAAATGGTTCTTTATAGAATTTATGGTTCTACTTAGAGCCAATCCCTAAGAGCCCTTGAAGAACCGTCTTTTTTAAAAGTGTCTTCTTTCTTACAGTGTACAGATGTGTGATTTGACTAGGGGTACCTAAACTTTTGCATATGACCGTATGTCGGGTGGTGTTTAATATCATGTTGTAATCGTCTCTGTTTCTCCAGTCTGTTCGCAGTTTTCCAGAGGAGTTTATGCTATTTTTGGATTCTACGACAAGAAGTCGGTGAACACGATAACGTCGTTCTGCGGGACGCTGCACGTTTCCTTCATCACCCCCAGCTTCCCGCTGGACGGCACCCAGCAGTTCATCCTCCAGATGAGGCCGGACATCAAAGGGCCTCTGCTGAGCCTCATCGAGTACTACAAGTGGGACAAATTCGCCTACCTGTACGACAGTGACCGAGGTAAGAGCCTGCTGGATTTCCACTAAAATGTATCCTACCCAAAAATGTATCCAAGCCTTTACCATTAATAATGTGATTTATCAATGCTGTGGTCATAGTTATTCTAATATACATTATTCAAAAGTTTGGAATCATTTGCCACATCTGCCACTTTTTTTTATTTTAAATACATTAATATCTTTTAAAATGTGGATTTAAATGCTGTTCACCAAAAGGGTCTTTTATGGTGTTTTCACATATAGTTCTATTTAGATGAACCAAACTATGTTCTGTTAAAGTGAACCTAAACAGGGAGCCAACTGCAAATGACCTCAGTTCTTTTTGTGTTTGCAATGTAACTGAACTATGAAGAGGACTCAGCTTTCTTTCTGGTGTTTTGAGATCTCAGACCACTTCTTGTTCAGACCACAACTCAATTAGCTCAGACCCTGCATGTCTGCTGCAGTGGGTTCCGTTTTCGTCTGCGCTCCTCACCGAGCACCACCTGGCAAAAATCCGCTTCTGCACTGAAATAGCGTATTTGATAGAGCAGGGGTGAATTTTCATTCATTCAGCATTCAGTGTGAAAGCAGCTTAAAGCTCTGCATTGCGTGCGCGCCCAGCATGAGCCTTTACAGTCGCACAGGCTCTCGCATATTATCGCTCCAATGTGTCAGGGCTGCTGTCCTGTCACAGACCACAGACATGCTTTACCCTGAGTAGAACCTTATAAATGATCCTTGGTGGTCTGTTTTTACCTGCTGAAGTGCTGAAGACTGTGGCTGTGTGAACGCTGAGCCTCGAGGTCTTCACCATAAAGCAAAGCAAAAGCGGACTGGGGCCATTTTATTTTCACAATGCACATATCAATCGAATCACAAATCAATTGTTCATTTGCTGTGTTCACATATGCACAGAAAACCATGACTCAGTCCACTTCAGACACTGAAACGGCCCTAGTGTGAAAAAGCCCTTAGATGTTTTAGCCAATAATTTAAGATTTCTGTAAATGTCATGCTATGAGAACAAATTAGATGCGCACAGATTAAAATCAAACACAGTATTTGACTTGCAGTTGAAGGGCAATCCAAAAAACAAGAAACAGAAACAGACCAATATCAAAAACAGCTGACAATGCAGGAGAGCACAATGCTGAACTTTATTCAAGAGTCTCCACTTGAAGGGAACTGAAGAGAATTGAGTGTAAAGTGTGGAGCTGTGCTTCGCTCATAGTTCAGTGAGGAAGATTTAAATTTCATTAAACTAGGAAATGAATTCAGGCAAATGTCTTGGCTGCAATAAAAAAAATGATCTGGATTGTGCTCAAGGTCAGAGTGGGCAGTTTGCTGATCAAATTACAGTCCCAAAAAAGGTTATTAGAAACTCAATATTAATGGCTACAGTGGAACTGAAGAAAAGTAGATTCCTTTTTTTTCTGAATATTCTTGAGAAATAAATGTATTATCATTTGGAAGCACTCAAGTATCAACATTTTATCAAAGCACATTACCATTCAAAAATGTAGATTCTAAATATAAAACCAATTTGGTTGCAGACACATATACCAGGGGAGTTAATAAGTATTCAACTTAACGAGATTACTAAGTTATGGCCACCACTTAATTATCTCATTTCCATGTCCTACTAAGTCATGGCCACGCATTAGAATCTTGTTCCCGTGAGTTAATAAGGCATGGCTATACATTATTTTTTTTAAATTTTTTTATATAAACTAAGGTGCCTACATTAAATTGGTATGTTAATAACACACTCCAGTAATGGAACTATTTAAGATAGGAACACCTTTGAAACCATCAATAAGATGCTTCTTAATAAAAATAATTAAATCAAGTACACAACATATAATTTCTGTGGAAGATTCTGATAGCCTCAAACTTGTGTGATTATTTCCATGCATATGTTTGCCTACATACCTGTGCATACAGTATATCATGTTTACAACTAGCATTACAAGTTCTTCATAACAGTTTTATAAATGTAACACTTTAGTTTAAGGGCCTCAACACAATGTTATTTACTTCATAAAATATTTAATCTCATCTTGTAATACCGTCATAAGCTGTTTATAAATATTCAAATGTTGCTTTTTAAATATAAATGTGTTATTCAATGCTTATGTATGTGCTATGAAGCTTTGTGTTACTTTGTTAATTATTATAATAAATTATTATTTGATAACTTCTTGTTGATCTTTCAGTACATGAAATATCGATCAAAACTTTGATTTTTGTGTGTAATGTTTTTAAAGAAATGTTGTACGTTTTTGTTGTAGATAAAAACAAAACAAATAAAAAAATAATATGATAACGACTGCAGTTTTAGAAGGATAGTGTCAAAAAACTTGCCACTTTATTAGAAACCCCTGTCTTGCTGGTGTACAGTTAGGGACTGTAGTCCATGTGTCGATGCACAGTTTGTGTTAGCCATCCTCTAGTCCTTCATCAGTGGTCAGTTTCTGACGACAGAGCCAATCTTGGCAGAATGTTTGTCTTTGGCAGACTCTTATCTCTTTTGGTGCGTCTCTTGTGGTCAGAGAAAGATGTAAACTGAATTAGCCAGATAATAAATTCTGCCAAATGCCTCGGCTGCAATAAACAAATGGTCTGTTTGGTGCTGGAGGTCAGAGTGAACAGTTTGCTGAGGGCTGTGTTGGTCTTAGATGTTCTTGTTTGTGTATGCTCGACACGCCGGACATTGTGTCTCAGTTTCTATTTTCTGCCATGGACCACTCCAACCCCACCCCAACCCCCTAGCCCTCTCTCTCTCAATCTTTCTCTCTCTCTCTCTCTCTCTCTCTCTCACTCTTTCTCTCACTCTTTCTCTCGTTCTGTCTCTCTGTCATGTTTAAAGGTGACATCACACTCCAATTGTGTGTCGTACATTCTTTAAAAAGATGGTTCTTTAAGGGTTCTTTAGTAAAGAAAATGGTTCTAGATAGAGCCATGAACACTCAAATAACCATTGCATGATTAAAGGGTCCTTCAGATTGATAGAAAATGTGCTGTAGATGGTTCTATAAAGAACCTTTTGGAAAAGTGTTCACTATAGCACCAAAAAGGGTTCTGCTGGTGTTATGAGCTTGTAACAATAGCAGAACTTTTGTTGGTGCTATATAGAACCCTTTTCAAAAAGGTTCTATGTAGAACCATCTACAACAGAACCATTTTTGGTGCTATAGAGAATCCTTCTCAAAAAGCTTCTATATATACCATTTACAATACATTCTCCATCAATCTAAAGAACCTTTCACGATGCAAAGAACCCTTTTTTTATCAAATTGTTATTTTCTCTCATTTGTTCTGTTCTTCACATAATGCTGTTATTTGTCTCTTTCTTGTAAAGCACTTTAAGATGCAAGTGAGAGAAAGGGAGAGAAAGAGAGAAAGGGAGAGAGAGAGAGAGGGAGAGAGAGAGAGAGAGTGAGAGTATGCAGTATTAGTGAGCATCCTTTGGGAATTGGTCCAACTAATACAAGTATGTTGTAATGAAACGTGTTTAATTAGGCTAAGAATGAGTGGACAGTGTAAGTACTGCCAGTAAACTAATGAACTTATATAGTGATTTTAAACACTCACTGGCCACTTTATTAGAAACACCTACTTTGTGCTTCCACTCAGTGGCCACTTTATCAGAAACACCTACCTTGTGTATCCACTCAGTGGCCACTTTATTAGAAACACCTACCTTGTGTTTCCACTTACTGGCCACTTTGTTAGAAACACCTGCCCTGTGCTTCCACTCGGTGGCCACTTTATTAGAAACACTTGACTTGTTTTTCCATTCACTGGCCACTTTATTAGAAACACCCACCTTGTACTTCCACTTCCTGGCCACTTTATTAGAAATACCTTGTGCTTCCACTCACTGGCCACTTTATTAGAAACACCCACCTTGTACTTCCACTTACTGGCCACTTTATTAGAAATACCTTGTGCTTCTACTCACTGGCCACTTTATTAGAAACACCTACTTTGTGCTTCCACTCAGTGGCCACTTTATCAGAAACACCTACCTTGTGTATCCACTCAGTGGCCACTTTATTAGAAACACCTACCTTGTGTTTCCACTTACTGGCCACTTTGTTAGAAACACCTGCCCTGTGCTTCCACTCGGTGGCCACTTTATTAGAAACACTTGACTTGTTTTTCCATTCACTGGCCACTTTATTAGAAACACCCACCTTGTGCTTCCACTCACTGGCCACTTTATTAGAAACACCCACCTTGTACTTCCACTTACTGGCCACTTTATTAGAAATACCTTGTGCTTCTACTCACTGGCCACTTTATAAGAAACACCTACTTTGTGCTTCCACTCAGTGGCCACTTTATCAGAAACACCTACCTTGTGTATCCACTCAGTGGCCACTTTATTAGAAACATTTACCTTGTGTTTCCATTTACTGGCCACTTTGTTAGAAACACCTGCCCTGTGCTTTCACTCTGTGGCCACTTTATTAGAAGCGCTGACCTTGTACTTCCATTCATTGACCACTTTATGAGCTCCACCTACCTACATCTTTTATAATTCTTTATTCGGGGATATGTCACCATATTTTAATAAAACCACTAGCCTGATCACATTGTATTTCACCTCGTAACTTTTATCTGGACAGCAGTGAGTTTGTGAAGGATTAGTTAGCTGATAATAAACACAATAAATTCACTAAATGATGCTCAAAGTCCCATTAAACATACAAGTAGAGTGTGAAATGAGCCTGAGTAAACTCGATGTTTACTTGTGTTTTTCTGTGTTTTTCTGGTGATGTCCAGTAGTCACGTACAATATTTTGTGTTTTCCTGGTGGGTTGAAATCACAGTGTAAAGGATTTTGATCGATTAATCTGGTGTTCTGGGACTGATTCCAGATACATTTGATCATTCCATACTAGTATCCAATGGCAACCATGAGGCCAATTTCCATCATGTTTTATTCCTAACGGTGCTAATAGTCATCAGCATGGTTTTCATGAGTTTCAGCAATAGCCTGTTTGCTTTTTCTGCAAATAAACTCGACATTGTGTCTTATCATAGTAGTAGGTTTTATTTTGAAAGTTTCCATATTTAATTACATTATGATCAGTACGACAATGCTAAAATAAGTTTAGAGTAACTCTTCTTGCACAACAGTATGTGGTTTGCTGTTGTTGCTGTCATGGCAGCAAGTTTTCCTGCTTGCTCGCATATGTCCCGACACATATTTACACGCAGTCCTGTTAGTTTACCTTCCACCACTCTCACTTTTTCACTTCTTTTTAATTTACTGCCTTTTGCAAAACTTCCCATGCATGTCTCACTTTTGCTTGCTTAGAGGCTCCATCGTGTTCAATTTCTTACTTTATTGTTCATAACCCAAGCTTGCCATGCCAATAAAGAGCACCATGAATTGAACTGCACTGACAGAGAGAGAAAGAGAGAGAGCGACGACAGCAACGACAGCAAGCTGAGACAAATCGAGAAGCAGCTATTATCCTAAACGCTGGAGAATACGAGAGCAGAACAGACGCCGTGAAAGTCCTGAGTCCTTCATTTCATCTCATTTTTCTCTTTCTATTTGTATCGATTTTTCACTTCACACCAATAGTACTTATTCTTCTGAGCTGGTTAATGAGCTTCGGTTTCTGTCCATCTCTTTGTGTTCTCATATTGCAGCCTTTATGCTCATTGATCCATTACGTTATATAATCTCATTGTCTATTTCAGCCACACCAGCTGAGCCTTAGCGCCTCGTCTGAGGTGTGAGGATGAATTAATTAGCCACCCCACTTATGGAGAGGTCGTGGATTAGGATCAGAGTGAGAGTCTCCTCCTTCTTGTTTCTGATTATAGAAAAAACTCTAAAGATGCTCCACTAGACCTAAGAACAGCAAAAACAAAAAGAACAGCAGTGAGATGCGGTTAATAACCGCCTGGCTTTTCTAGCCAGACAAAGCAGGTTTTCACTGAAGAAAAGAGCAAAGAACAATCCAATCTGTCTTTAATTGCAATTAGAGACCTGCTGTAACTCTTGTAAGAGGATTAACTTCCTCCAGACACAGAGGACACTATCACAGTTCAAATGCATTTCCCCCAAAACAAAGAGAAACATTCTCACATTCATTCTGAAATGCGCTAGTGCTTTTTTCAGTGTATACACATATCGCTGTTGTGAGAAAAAACCTTGTATCCAAAATGGTAACTTTACAGGAGAAGGAAAAAACCTTCTTTCCTTTTAATTTAAGTCAATGGAACCAGACATTTTTTCAAGTAATTTTGAGTCATTTCTTTTAGTCCATTCATCATGAAATTTACACACAACGTAAAGGGTAACAGGTATGTAGCACCGCATGTGCTACCAAGGGCTCAAGGTGGACGCTGGAGGCAGGATTCAGGTTTGCAGCAGCCATATCTACTTTAATTCACACCAAACTCAGACATCAAATCAATACAAAACAAAACCTAGGCTGGCCACTTTTCAATGGCTTCAGTCAGCTAGACTTTTCAGGCCTTTATCCTCACAGCTTTTCAGCTCCTTGTTGCTGCTGCGTGTCCCTCTCCTCTCTCACTCTGTTCCCTCTCAGCTCTTTCAAAAGGCGCTCACGCTGCCAGCCACATTAGCATCAGCTCTCATTAAGGGCAGCGTGAGCACCCGAGCTGAGAAGGAACGAGAGCTCACTGCTCCGCCTCGTCACCGCCCCCAGCTTGCAGCGCGGCCGCCCGGGTCGAACATAAGGTACCCTGAAGCGGCCTCGCTGCGGCACAGGGGGCGGGGCCCGGGCGGCGGAGCTCGGGACTCACTCCTTGCCTTGGTGTCTCTCGTGACTGGCACCATCGTCCTCGTCCTCCTCCTCATGACGTCACTCGCGTGACCCGCATTCATCAGCGGAGCTTGGGCTATGCGCTCCGCCCCCTCCCCACTTGCGGCTCTCTCCCTGCTGTCCTCGCCAAGGTTTGTCGCCGCTGTGTGTTCGAGATTTTGTAATGAAACCTGACAATATGGAGTGAAATCTGATGTCATCAGGGCACTTGCACCATCTTGTTTTTTCTAATTTTTTAAAAAAATTTTACCCAATTTTCTCCCCAATTTAGTCGTCTCCAATTCCACCCGCTAGTTAGGACTCCCCCAATCACACGATCTACACATCTACTATCAACGCTAGGAGGGCGAAGGCTAACTTCCTCCGAGACCTGTGAAGCCAGCCGCCGCTTCTTTTCGAACTGCCGCTCACGCAACGTCATTGGACAGCTGAACGTGCTCGGAGGAAAGCGCCAACCGCCAGATCTGTTACGTCAGCTAACGGATGCCTGCGCTGACCAGCATCGCGTTGGGTGATGGGGGGAGAGGGAGGGGCCATCCTGCCCACCCAGAGAGCGAGGCCAGTTATGCTCTCTTGGACTCTCGGCTACGGATGGCTGTAGCATCACCAGGGATCGAACTTGCAATCTCCTGATGATAGGACCAACGGCTAGACGCCACTCGGGAGCCCCCATCTTGTTTTTTCAATGTGTGATTTTATCCCATACGGATGCAGGCAATGACAGAGTCAACATGAAATCTAGTAGCAGCAATCCTAAATAGTGAGGAGATAATTAACACCCTGGTAAACGCATGTACGGGTCAAAATAATACTAGAGAGAAAGATGCATTCCACCTCACAGGAGCACCCCACAAGTGGCCTGTTTGCTGTAATTTTACATTCCTGGGTTGGAAGAGGGGTTGTAGGGATGGGGTATGTGATTACGTACAGCTCGGAGGCCCCCTTAGCACCAAACTATGTTTGTAATGTATACGCTAACTAGAAAAAATGTTTGAGTAACTTTTAATATGGAATGAGACTTTTCCCAGCTAATTTTGAACCATTTCTATTGGTCCATTCATCATCAAATTTTTGACTCAGTGTATAGGACAGCTGGTGTTTTCAAATCACACACGTTTTCTTGACCACTTATCCTTCTGGGTCGTGGGGGGGAGCTGAAGCCTATCCCAGCGTTCATTGAGCGGAAGGCGGTAAACACCCTGGACAGGTCGCCAGTCCTTCGCAGGGCAGTTTTCAAATCAGGTAAAAAAAAAAATAATAAAAATTACAAAAAATGAGAGGAGATTTTGTTCCATCAGCAAAGTTACGTAGAAAATATATATCTGTTTGAAGTTAATTCAGTTCATCAGTCTTTTGAGGTTAAATATGGACCCACATACAAACCCTAAGAGTTAAAGAGGTTAATCTTTCAGACCTCTCTCCCTCTCTTTCTCTCTCTCTCTCTCACCCTCTGTCTCTGTCTGATTCATTCTGACTGTAGTGTATAAGGGCACGTCTCAGTCTGAATCTACAGCAGGGACATCCAGTCTAAAGGTGAATAAACACTCAGAAGCAGTGGGCTGGAATATAATCTGAGAGATGAAAGGTCATGAAATGAAAAAGATTCATGTGTCTGTCTGAGATCAGTCTTCCATATGAAAGTGGAATATATGGCAGTGTGCTGTTGGCATATATTATTGTATTTTATTTTGTCTGTTTAAACTTTAAACTATTGCCCCATATATATTTGAAAGTGCTTATATGTAATATTATTTCATATTTCATTCCATTTTACATGATTCTGAAATTGAAGAGCCTGCCTTAGGATCTCTTACAGCTCAGCTGGTGGAAGGTCATTTTGTATAGCATGTGAACTCTGGAATGTGATTCAATTTTAAGAATGAATCAACACAAACATGAATGTGGATTAAAAGTTTAGAATCTGCACTTTCCCCACAATTCCTCCACTTTTTATATGGCCTATGAGTCAGAAACAATCAAAATAAAATACAGCCTAACAGTATAAATGCAGAAATACTCCAGCGATGGTATCTGGAAAGAGAGATAGACTTTTTTATGATGCTGGACTTTCCAAAAGGCATTACAGATGAGGATACGTGTGTCTGACCCGACAGACCTCTTAAACAGTTTTGGAGTGCTCTCAAATGAGAATGAATCTAATGCTATTGTTTCATTTGCCTCACACAAAACAATCATTATATCTGACTTAGAGCTAATGGGCCTTTCTAACGAGGTTTTAAATGCTGTACTTCAGGAAGAAATGTGAGCTTCCTTTTAAAAAGCAAATAAAACACACATTAAATAAAACGCTGCTCTGCCAAAGCAGCCTCGTAAAGTAAACACAAATGAATTATGTGCTTTTGCGCACATACATAGACACACACACACACACACACACACTTGTTTTTGCACCATGTCTCCTATGTCCCAATGTATATTTAGATGGAACACTGGGACATATGGGACACTATACAAACACAAGTGGAATAAAATCATATATATATTATATATATATTTATTATTTATATATATGGTGCTTATATTTAATAACAATGTTCAATTCCATATTAAATTACATTCTATATATCTTCCATATCTGTGAAAAGTGCTTTGTAAAGTCAGTCCTGAAAAATAAAGCTCTGTTTTGTGTCCAGAAGTTATACAAAAACAAGTACATACACAGAAACACACACTCACACACATACACACAGTATCATTTGAACTGCTATACACACTGTTTTCCCCAACTCTCTCTCTATCTGACACATTTGCCATTGTGCTGTCATGCTAAATCAATTTCCACAGATGTTCCCTCTCTCTGACTGACAAAAACTAAAATGACAATTTTAGACTCTTATTTTCTGTGTCAAATCAATCATGTAGTAATACTGTGATGTTTTTCCAACAACAGTTTGCGAAATATGAAGAGAAATACTGAGACAGACCAAAAAAGTCGTCTGCGCTCTTGTAGAAAGAGAGAAGTGGGGCTTTGGCATCATCTCATCTGCCAAGACTGTCTGTAACGGGTGAACATTAACTGATTTGTTTGTGTTTACTCTGATTAGGACTGACCACCCTGCAGGTGGTGCTGGACACAGCAGCGGAGAGAAAATGGCAGGTGACGGCGATAAACGTGGGCAACATGAAGGACGAGAGGAAGGACGAGGCTTACCGGTCACTCTTCCAGGACCTGGAGAACAAGAAGGAGAGAAGGGTCATCCTGGACTGCGAGCAGGACAAAGTCAAGGACATCATGGAGCAGGTGAGGAGGTCAAACACTACAACACGGCTTTTGTTTTCTACAGTGGTGCTTGATAGTTTGTGAACCCTTTAGAACTTTCTAAATTTCTGTCCTAATCAATTCTGTCAAAGTCCTAATGGTAGATAAAGAGAACCTGTGAAGATCTGATGAAGTTTTAGGACAATTTTATGCAGAAAATTCTAAAGGGTTCACAAACTTTCAAGCACCACTGTAGATGAGATATCTTAGCCTTCATTTTTTCTTTTGTGCCCACATTTGACTATGTATCTCTGCAGGTATAATACAGTATTCAAAAGTTTGGAAACACATAAAGAGCTTTGTTCCAAAATCCCATATATACATTCATAGCAAGGTTTTATATAATGACTTTCTGAAAAGATTAACTGCTGATGTTAACAGAAAACACATATTTATGTCTCTAATAAAGGTGGTATTAATCATACCATAGCACTGATTTTCTTGTACTTATAAACTCCACTCCCTACAATGTGTATAATGAAAGAAAATTCTTTGAAAGGGGTATGATAATTATAATATAATTTTGGAGCAAAACCCTTCATATATTCATGGAAAAGTATTTTACTATTATTTTTTACTATTCCACTTTTCCAAATTTTAAAATAAGAAAAAAGCATCAACATTCTGAATTTACCCATGAAAGTATTTACAAATATCCGTCCATTCAGCCTAGAGCAGTTTAGCCCCGCCAACTAACACTGAAGTTATAAGTAGTGTTTCAGCCTGGATTACTTTTTGAATAAGGCAGCCAATCAAAGCAGGGCTCTTTTACATATATTCAACTTAAAGGTGCAGTAAAACATTTTAATTGTTTAAGTGTAAGGAATACAGAAAATGTTAAAAAAATATAATAATATAAACACAAACTTTTGTTTATTTATTTATAACTAAATATTTGTAACAAAATACAATGTTATTTTGTATATTAATGTAAAAAAAATGTTTTTAGGAAGTGAAAATATGGTAATGTACACATATTAGCAAAATTATACCGTGCATTGATGGTACAAATTATATAATATGAGCAGACAGCTCTTAAACACATAAGGAAATGAGATTAAGTGAAGTTCACAATGGATATAACATCATACATTATAATGGAAATTCTTAAGTATTAACCTTTAAATAGAAACGTCCTTAAGATTATGAACAACATACATTTGGTGGGGTCCAGATTTTTGACTGTACTGTATGACAGAATGCATATCATGTCATTTAATCACTTCTGAAACCAGTATCTAGTTGGACTGCAGTGGAGCCGATTCACCCTTTAGCACAGAACCCCACCTCTGGCTCATTAGTGAGGGGCTTCACGGACAGCCGTGAAAACGGGAGCAGAATTCTTGGTGAAATGGGTTATTTATTCTGATACTCGAGGCCGTTGGGGAAAAGTCATTGATTTGTGTTTAAGCCTTGCAGAAGTGTGTTTAACCAGCTGCCGGAATCAATACAGCTGATCCCAACAGCAGCTTTATATATTTAGTCTACAGGCACACAGAGCATAACCTTCAGCAGACCCTCTAACTGCACTCTGACTGACCACCAGTGCACCGCATGCTGAAAGATTGTATCATGAATATATCTTAAGAATTGAACTAAAATGGTTACAAGCTGTCTTGTTTTACTAAAATAGCTGAATGCAATTAATTTCAATTAATATGATTTTGTATGCAGTGAAAGTTTGCTATGTTAAAATACTTCCATACTGGACTGAGTAAAGGCTAATGGGTAACACTTTCTTTTAAAGTCCCTTAAGTTCTAGGCATTACATGAGTAAATGTGAGGTACAAACTTATTTTGGGTAACATGATGGTAAAGTGCTAATATGGTCTAACTGAATTACAGTGGAATGACAAGTTCTAGATAGTAAACTGAATGAAGGACGTGATAAATTACCAAACAAGGTGGTAAATACAAACACACACTAAATTTCACTGTAATGTCAGAGGAAAGTAAATGAGAAACACCTCAGAGAAATCAGTATAAAATTACAGCACAAAATACAAAGTTAGTTTTCTGAAGTAAATGGTAAAAACCCAGTAAAACTACAGAGAAAATCATTACCTTCATTTTACAGACCAGATTCGGTTTAGTTTATAGGTAATAAGAAAATACATAATATGTAAGACTTTGTACTTTATTAATGTAGTCTTTTTACGCCATATAAATATGTGGAACCTTTTACCCAAAATATTTGCACAGTACTTTCAAGTTTGTACCTTACACTTACCCAGTTAATATCTAGAACCTGAATAGCATTTCAATTTAATTTAGTTAGACTGCCTTGGAACTCACCATCATGTTATGCAAAATAATTAACTAGTACTTTGGAGTTTGTACCTCACACTTACCCAGTTAATATCTAGAACCTGTTTGGCATTTCAGTGTAATTTAGTTAGACTGCCTTGGAACTCACCATCATGTTATCCAAAATAATTTTTTAGTACTTTGGAGTTTGTGCCTCACACTTAACTGGTTAATACCTAGAACGTAAGGGACTGTAAAAGAAAGTTTTCCTGGCTACTTTACCCAATGCTATTTTGTGTAGCTGTGGACCTCTAGAGCAGTGATCTCCAGCCACAGTTTTCCACACCTGCTCCAGCTAATCAGCCTCTTCCCAAGTCCCTGATGGGCTGGGTCAGGTTTATTAGCATTAAGTAAGGGCTGGGGCAGCTTATTGGTTGCAGGTTGGAACTAAACTCTGCAGGAAGGTGGAGAGTTGGTGACTGTTGCTCTAGAGAGAGTAACTCTATACAGCTTCCAAACTGTATACTATATATGACTGTATGCTATATGTAATAATTCACTGAGACCACATAGAACATTTTTTAAATATTAAAATCACTAACAACGATATATCCAGTATATCCAGATTTTCTTTACTGCAAAATATTCTTTTGGTTATCATAATAATTGGCTCTTACAATTTCAGAAATGCCATTTATTTATTTATTTATTTATAATTTTAAAGGTAAACAGGTGAACAGTGTCTGTTTTGTTTTGTAGCCAAACTTCTACTTGTCTTCATCTTATTCTTAAATTGATGTCAGCTGAAAACTCAGTATTTAATCTTCTGGATTTCTTTTGGATTTCACCTTCCAGATCATAACCATTGGAAGGCATGTGAAGGGATATCACTACATCATAGCAAACCTGGTGAGTGACATATCAGCGTATTTATCCTGTACAATGATTTTAACTGTATGGAGTTCATGATAAAAACATCATGAAGGTCACAATACAACAGCTTGCAGAAGTTTCCTCTGCAGCCATCTTGTTGAGGAAGAAGAGGAGCAGGATTATGTAAGACCTGCCTGAGGCTCGTCCCATTTGTTCCCTCAGTGAATGTGACTGCTCTCCTCTCTGACTTTTCAGGGATTTGTGGATGGAGACCTGTCCAAAATCCAGTACGGAGGAGCCAACGTCTCAGGCTTCCAGATCGTAGATTTTGAAGACCCTTTGGTGTCAAAATTTGACCAGCGCTGGGAGGCTCTGGAGGAAAAAGAATATCCAGGAGCTGATAGCAAGATACGGGTTAGAGGCATATTTCACCACCCACATACTGCAGTCTGTCTGACGTTTGTTTGTATGAGTGTGAATGTGTTGAACTCTTTCCTTCTTTCATAAGAAGATGAGGCATCGCTTATCACTGATAATGCAAATTGTAAATCACTAATACCCGAAAACTTAAAATGTCACTAATCAGTAATACCCTGAAATTTAAAATGTCACCAGTCACTAATACCCCAAAACTTAAAATGTCACAAATCACTAATACCCTGAAATTTAAAATGTCACTAATCACTAATACCCGAAAACTTAAAATGTTGCTAATCACTAATACCCAAAAATTTAAAATGTCACTTATCAGTAATACGCTGAAATTTAAAATGTCACTAATCACTAAAACCTCAACATTTAAAATGGCACTAATCACTTGATACCTGACAAATCTAAATTTCACTAATCTATTATATGGAAAAATTTCAAATGTCACTAATCACTCATACCCCAAAACTTAAAATGTCACTAATACGCTGAAATTTAAAATGTCACTAATCACAAACACCCCAAAATTTAAAATGTCACTAATAACTAACACCCCAAAATTTAAATTGTCACTAATCATTAATACCTCAAAAATGTAAAATGTCACTAATCACTAATATCCCAAAATGTAAATTGTCACTAATTACTAATATCTCAAAATGTAAAATGTCACTAATCACTAATTCCCCAAAATTTTAAATGTCACTAATCGCTATCACATTTAAAATGTCACTAATCACTAATACACCAAAATTTAAAAATGCCACTAATCGCTAATACCCCAAATTTTAAAATGTCACTAATCACTAATAGACTGAAATTTAAAATGTCACTAATCACTAATACCCCAAAATTTAAAATGTCATTAATCACTAATACCCCAAAATTTAAAATGTCACTAATCACTAATACCCAGAAATTTAAAATGTCACTAATCACTAATATCTTAGAATTTTATATGCCGCTAATCACCAATATCCCAAAATATAAAATGTCACTAATCACTAATACCCCAAAATGTAAAAATTTAAGTAATCACTTACACACTAAATATAAAAGGCCATTAATCAGTAGGATTCCTGACAAAAGAGGTCACTAATCAGAAAGATCCCAAACAAAATAGGTCATTAATCACTATTATGGAAAAATAAGAGTCTTGACAATCACTGATACAGCAAAACAAGTTACTAATACCTGAAAAGTACAAGAGCACTGCTCATACTCAAAATGTGAGCTCACATCTGAGGTACACCAAATTGTCACTAATCACAGACAGCCAAAATATAAGAAGTTATGAACCTCTTAAAATCACTTTCTATTGCTTTTTATTCAGCTACATACAACTACATGACAAACAGTGCAGTGGAGCTGCATTATACTTAAGCTAATTTAAGGGTTTGTGGCTACTAAGTCTCTAATCAATAATTCCCAAATGTCACCAAACATAAGAGTTTATGCAGTAAAAACAACCTAAATGAAAAATGTCACTACTCATTAATACCCCAAACATAACTTATCAATACTACAGCAAATGTTAGAGGTTCAATGATGCTACAAAATGTAAGTCATTGATCACTGACACCTCAAATACATGAGCTCATTAATCACTAACAGCCTGAATGTAAGTGGTCACTAATCTCACTTTTCCATCTTTATGTCTAGTACACCTCAGCACTGACCTATGATGCGGTCCAGGTGATGACCGAGGCCTTCCGATACCTCCACAAGCAGCGCATTGACATTTCCCGCAGGGCTAATAATGGGGATTGCCTGGCTAACCCGGCTGTTCCGTGGGCGCAGGGAGTGGAGATCGAACGCGCCCTCAAACAGGTAAAGTGCTAACAAATCCTGACCCTGAGAAACACACAGTTTAATGAGCCAGTGATTAGGAAGACTGTTTCTAGGACAAACTGTGCACTGGAGGAACAGAGAGAGTCTTTTTTATGCTTTATGGCTACATTTTGCAAGTTTGCTAAAGCAATAAGCAATGAGAGGCCATACGTTACTGCAATTTTATCACAGGAAATGTGTTCTTAAAACTCCCCACAATCGCAGGAACACCCAGTCTCAAGTGGCTTATTGCTTTTATAAACTGTAACATAAAATGCTAAAACACACAATTTTTCAGAAAATAATTTGTTATTATTAATAATAATCAACATAAACAAGTATTCTGCCAAGAAATGTAGTTCATTTAGAATATGGTATCATTGCCAAGCAACAATGGACTGCTGAAATGAGGAGAAGCACATTGGGTCGCCCATCACTGTATACTGTGGTCATTTCATGAATTCTTCAATTTTTTGTTGTATAACAATGAACATATGATAACACAGCACAGTTGAATGCAAAAACTTTTATAAGCCTTTTAAGTATTTATTGGGCACCAAATTACCACCGTGAGTCTTATTTAGCACCAATCCAGCGACGCCCCTTTTCTCAGGCTGGGGCTGAATCTCAAATGGTTCCCTGCTCCCTACATAGTGCACAACGTAAGAATTTAAATACTGGATCATGCAGCCCAGTGGTGCGAAATATAGCTAAGAAATAGTCATTAGGGATTCAGACACATCGATACTCGACAAATTATGCATTATTTGGCTGTAGAGGATAGAATTTCTAAACTTTAATAGTTAACACACTATTTAGGGAGTATGGAGCCGTTTGGGATTCATCCTGGGTTTGACCCAACTATTGACTGAAACAGGAACATTTGAAGCATGTAAGACATTCAAGTGACATTTTTAGACTTTTATACTGCTGTTTTACAGTGAATCATATTGTCAGTACTTTACTTCAAGTCTGTGATATTAATGATGGAGTTTTTTAGCATGTTGGCTATCTTTTAGCCTGTTAGCTAGCTGACCAGCCTAGTTCTAGTTAAGAACATAAGTTGCCAGCACCTCAGTTTAAACAAAAACGGGTTCTTATTTCATCAGTATACTCAGTGCTCTATGTGTGCAGCATTAGAGTCAAAGATTTGTCCATTAACAGCTCAAGGGTTTTGTTTTTCATGCCATGGTGCAGTAATACACAATTCAGTTGTTGTGAGGTGGTCATTGGTGTGTGTATATTGTGGATTTATGATGGCTTCAAATGTAATTATCCTTTTTATAATATGTATTTTAACACAGTAGTCTGCATTGCAGCATATTCTCTTCTTTCTCCCAGTGTCAATCCCAGTCAATCAGCTAAGACTTGTTCAGTGTGTGAAGTTTTTAAGTGCTTCTTAAATTTTGCGCTGGAGTTACGAATGCCGTCAATTTCCTGGCTCTGTGTACAGGTTCGAGTTGAAGGTCTGACCGGCAATATTCAGTTTGATCAGTATGGGAGGAGGGTTAATTACACAGTCAACGTCATGGAACTGAAAAGCAATGGTCCAGTTAAGGTAAGGTTCAGGTCTAGAAGAGCATGTCATTAAAAAATGACCACGTACCAAAATACGTGTTTCGGTAGTAACATGAAAATGCATTTTTTGAATTTTGAAATTTCTCAAATGTAAAAATGGGTTAGGTTTGGAACTGATGTTTGCTGTCATGAAGGCTCAGAAAAGAAAATAAAAATCATTATTTTGTCTCTTAGAGCTTAAAACCCTCACAAATCTCTTTTCTCTCTTTGCAGATTGGTTACTGGAATGAAGTCGATAAGATGGTGGTCACAAAATCAGACCTTTTCCCCAACGATACGATGGGTCTGGAGAACAAGACTGTAATAGTGACCACTATTCTGGTGAGCAGTTTAAGATGTTTGATTAGTTAGTAATAAATTTGTATAGTAAAGGCTACTGAACGCTGCTAAACTTAAGGTTGGCTTTTCATGTTGACTTTGACACAAAAATGATCTAATCTCAATTTAATCATATCTAATCTAGATCCTCCTTGAAACTTGTTAGAAATTCACCTGCAACGGTCTAAACACCTCAGTTGAAAAACATTTTCAGGATAAATTAGAGTCTAACACCTTCACCCAGCACACAGGCAGAAATGCCAGTAATGCTGTCACCATGGCAGCATTTCCTTAATGGCTTATTGCCACCATAGGCTGCTTCCAATTCTGCTATGTAGCACAGAACAATGGTGTTTCACCAACATGTAAATGCAGTTACAGTGTGAAGAGGTGTGTACTTTGTAGTGTGAATTTCTAAGTCTACACTCTGTTTCAGGAAGCACCGTATGTGATGCTGAAGAAGAACGCTGATCTCTTTGTGGATAATGAGAGATACGAGGGCTACTGTGTAGACCTGGCCGCTGAAATTGCCAAACACTGTGGCTTCAAGTACCGTCTGAAAATAGTGGAGGATGGAAAATACGGAGCCAGGGATGCAGAGACAAAAATCTGGAATGGAATGGTTGGAGAGTTGGTTTATGGGGTGAGTGAAAAGCATGTCATTGTAATTTTCATATACAATGGGAGAGCTTTTGCACAATCGATAACTTACTTATTTTTCAACTGTATTCATTCATCTTCAGTGCTGTGAAAAAGTGTTTACCCCCTTCCCAGTTTCTTCTATTTTTGCATATTTGTCACACTTGAATTTTCTAAAGACATTCAAATACAGATGTGAAACAAAGTAATTGAAATCTACCAGTCTGGAAAGGGTTTCAAAGCCATGATTAAGACTCTCGGACTCCAGTGAACCACAGTGAAAGCCATTATTCACAAAAGGAAAAAACTCAGAACAGTGGTAAACCTTCCCAGGAGTAGCCAGCCTATCAAAATTTCACCAAGAGCCAATATTCTGTGGACTGATAATCCAAGGTGGAACTGTTTGGAAGACATGGGTCCCGTTACATCTGATGTAAAGATAACACCACATCCCACCATAAGAACATGATGTGTGATGGTCTGAAGCTGCATTGATTCTGCAGGACATGGATGACTTGTCATAATTGATGGAACCATGAATTCTGCTCTATCAGAAAATCTTGAAGGAGAATGTCTGCCCATCAGTTCGTGACCTAAAGCTCAAATGGAGTTGGGTTATGCAGCAAGCAAATGACCTGAAGCACACAAGCAAGTCCACCTCTGAATGGCTTAAAGGAAACAAAATTAAGGTTTTGGAGTGGTCCAGTCAAAGTCCTGACTTGAATCTCATCTCAAGACCTTAAACGGTCAGTTCACGCTTGAAAACCCTCCAATGTAGCCAAATTAAAACAATTCTGCATAGAAGAGTAGGCAAAAATTCCTCCACAGTTATGTAAATACAAGTTTGATTGCAATTATAAATATAGTTGTTATAATAAGTTGTTGAATAAATCTTTATCTTTAATAAATGGAACAATCGTTTAAAAGCTGCATTTGTGTTTACTTGTGATGGGTTTATCTTGTATTAAAATATGTTGGATGATCTGAAACATTTAAATGTAACAAATTCGCAAAAATAGAAGAAATCAGGTGAGGGGCAAATACTTTCTCACAGCACTGTAGATACCATCTAAACTAATTTTCTTATTGAACATGTTTACCTGAAGCAATGCCATGCTTATAGTGTCATTAACCCTTAGAAGTCTAGAGTTATAACTGTTGATTTGCTGTAATTATGATGCCATAATTATTTACATGGAAGCTTAATGAATTAAAAATATGTTTGATTAACGTCTGATTTATTCTGTATAAACTGGTTCAGTTCTGCAAATTCTTTATTATTTTGATGTAAAAAAGACAAAAAATGTCAAAAACATAAACAATGCAAAACGAGACTGCATACAACCATCACTTTTCATTAAATTTAATCATAATAATATATCTGCTGTTCTATTTAAAAACACAAATGTGGTATGGAATGAAAGTTTAGAATCACACTTTTACACAATTTTTCTCCACTTGTTTTAATTAACTAGTCAGAAATAATTCATATCAATATCAAATCATTTCACTCAGAACCATGGCTTTTTACTTGAATTATACACATTTTCATTTCAGAAAGCTGACATAGCTGTGGCTCCGTTGACCATCACCTTGGTCAGAGAGGAGGTGATAGACTTCTCAAAGCCCTTCATGAGCCTGGGCATTTCCATTATGATCAAGAAGCCACAGAAGTCCAAGCCCGGTGTGTTTTCGTTCCTGGACCCGCTGGCCTATGAGATCTGGATGTGCATCGTATTCGCCTACATTGGAGTGAGTGTTGTGCTTTTCCTGGTCAGCCGCTTCAGCCCATACGAGTGGCACACAGAGGAGTATGAGGACGGACAGATCCAGACCAACGAGTCTACAAATGAATTTGGGATATTTAACAGCCTCTGGTTTTCTCTCGGAGCCTTCATGAGGCAAGGCTGTGATATTTCACCCAGGTTTGTTGATTTGTTATCTCTTTTATCACTACCTCATTACATCATTATCAGTTTCATAGTGGTTACTGCATAATTTATAGTCTTAAGCCTTAAGATCATTCACTGCATAACATGTTACAAGTCAGTTCAGGTTTGACCCTCAAAAGTCTTGAGCTAACATCATTTAATGTTACTGTAGTGCTATTACTGATTTCATGTAATTTCATAATTGATTACACAGGTTGTCACGTAGTGAATTACAGTTAAATTTGATTTACATTCTGAATCAACAGCTTTGAGTCAGCACTATGGACATTTTTCTGTTTTTTTTGTTACAGTGTCAGTGATGATGGCTGACATCTAATGGTTAAAGTGTTTACACAATGAGTGTGATTTATTTGTGCAATTTATTCAGAATCATACACATGTATAACTGATGACATCTTGCACACCAAACACAGTTTTTCAGAAGGTGAAAATTATTTACAATATTTAATTTTCCCTCTGTTCAGTATTTGAGAACTTTCGCAGGCCACATTAACTCATTCCTCTCATCACTGTTGTCCCTGGTGCTTAAATTGGGCTCCACGAATCAGAGAATCTGTGTTTGTTTGTTTTTTCAGGGCATAAAACAACACATCACATAAATGTGTTGTGTTATGGCCTTGATATGTTCCTTCTCACCAGACTTTAACATACATCATGGGTGATCCAATCAGAAGTGGGTGGCGCTAAGTACAGGGTTAAACAGTGTCCAGTGTGTCTCAGAGACGCAGTGTAATCCAGTCACTCAAACCACCTTCAGAGGAGGTCAGGGATGCATATGACCGTTTAACATTTGTAGTGTGAATGATAAAGCATCCCGATGCACCTCAGACACCAACAAAGGACCATCTAATCAGCTACATACATAACATCTACATAACAGTACTTATGAAAGCATTTACCTTCTTTCTTTATCTTCTTCACTGTTTATTTTTAAGTTCATGCAATTTTACGTTTGTAATAGCTGGGATGTTCACGGGTACTCGAGTAGTCAGTACCAGTATCTGAGTACTGAAATCACTATCCGGGTACTTCTTCAGTTTCAGCACAGAAGGACAGAGAAAATATACCAGTTAACAATTCAATGAATCACAGCTTGCATGTTTTAAAAGGACTTGATCTTGATGCATCTTGGGGCATCTTTTTTCCTATACAGGACTTCTTTTTTCTCATGGTGTGATGACTTGGTACTTTCAAAGCAAAGTATTTGGTATGATCTATAATGAATTTACTTCCAATATCATTTATTAATAAATCAAATGGAAGCGATGTGATAAGACGACTGGAAAGTTGCATTTGCCAGCATAAATCCCAGAATTGCAATGAACCAACTGGATAAGTGTGCCTGTAGCAGCATGCTATTAGTAAATTAATAAAGAATTCAACATATTCTGAATCACTTATATAAAGTAACTAACATGATCAGTAACTAAAACTAAATCTTTCTTAGCGAATTTTCATTCCTTTACTAAATCATTCCTCTGCTAAATTATTTAATACTGACGCTCATCTGTGATAAAATGCGCAGTTATGGTGACATAAGATTCTGTGGCTTCTCATGTTTGTTGTGTTTCCAAAGTATTTTAGTTTAGTGTGACACAACTTGCATATTGTCGCTGTCTAAAGAAAAACAAATATCTCCAAAATAGTAACTTTACATGAGAGGGCAAAAAACACTCTTACCTTTCAATGTAAGTTAATGTAAAAAGATTTATTCCAAGTGATTTTAGAGCATTTCTATTGGTCCATTCATCATGAAATTGACAAATATGGAGATGCATGGTTTTCTTGGGATAGTGACAGTATAGTGTAGCTCTTGTCCAGGTCCTTTTTCAGTTTAACTTCATAGAAGCCAAAGTGCTTCAATACGCTAGTTTTAATGCAAAGGGTGCTGGTTGGATTTCTCGGTCATCCATCTTGTGTCTTTGTGATGAGCGGGTGGCCAGGTGCTGCACTTCTGCACTTCCGAGTTCCACCTTTTGCGATCCGTCAACATTACGTTATCAATTAAAATTTAGAAAATCGATTTTTGACATTTGTGAATCAATTTAGAATTGTCCACACCCGCATTGTGATGCATCGAAGAATCAATTTTCCCCCACCCCTAGCCGAAACACAAGTTATCAAAGACTCATTGTTAAGGATGTGACTGAGAAGGCAGATGTAAAGCAGCTTAGTTGCTAACTGGTCTAGCAGGTCTAGTGAGGTACAGAAAGAGTGGAATTATGTTTCCCTGACAAACTATTACATTGGGACATTGTCCGCTGAGGAGAAAATATCTCCTGTAGAAAAGATGAGTCCTTTTCAGCCTCCAGTGATACCAGTTATCTGTACTTTTAGCTCATCTGAAGAGGCAGCCTCCATTACTAATCCAACATGAATACTACCAGTTTTTTGAATTATAAAATGTTTTCATATGTATATTTTCATGTGCTAATGATGTTTTGCCTCTAAACACTAGAGCCATTACCTACATTAATTTTAGCCAAAGTGTCTGTTATTTTGGCCATTTTTTTTCCCATGGTCAACCAGATATCTGTGCATTGACTCTTGTGGATACTCGAATATTAAACTTAGTCTAATGCACATTCCTATAGCCTGTACACTTACATAAACAATGACTCACTGAAAACTTTTGTTTGACAACAAACACAGCAAGAGACTGATGTAGTAAATGTGGGCGGTACTCTTCTTCCAGTCAGGGAAATTGATCATGAGTGGTCACTGGAGATGCATTGCAGACATAAGAAAATGCCAGGTGTAGATACGTAGCTATACGTCTCACTGTCCACTTGCAGTCAGATCACTCAAGATGGATGTTTAATATCAAGTATGAAGGAACCAAGACAGAGTACTGAAAATACATAACTGTATTATAGAAGGACTGAAAAGGTTCATATATGACAGGAATTAAGGACTGTATGAGTTTATAAGAGAACCATTTGGACTAAGTAAGCCACCAGTGTTATGTTCCCTAAGTACTGTTCTTTTGGAAGTGTTAACAGTGCTGGTGACAGTACTGTTCAGTGGTCAAACACCTCTTACACACATTTAACCGTTCCTCAAACAAACGAGTTACATAAGCTACATATAATGGAAAAGTTGGCATCATTACACTTTTATGAGCATCATTATTATTTGATTCTGTTAAAAGCCTTATCATACATGCAGAACAAACTCTACACAGAGTTGGTCTTGATAACATCCTTTTCCTTTCAGAGTTTATTAGAACAGAATGGTTTTATTAGGTCTACACTTTGATGTTATCTCACAGTTTAGCTCATACAGTTCCTTTAGAGATGCAACTCATTTTTTATTCATTCCTTGAATTTCAACTCTAAATGCAATTTGGCACATGCATGTGCACATCTTGTTGCTGTGCTGTCTGTACTTATTTGCTTAAACACCGGATCTTTAGAGCTCTTGTTATTTCACTATACATTTGATTTACATTTTATCTCCACACTTAAGGTTACATTTTAATAACACTCTGGAATGGAAAGTTTGTCTGTTTCAGTGACATAAATTTATAAAAACAAGGCAAAATGTAAAAAGGAGGATTTTCCTGCTGCAAAACAACTGCACAGATGACAAAAACCTTTCACTAAAATCAAATTATAATACGTACATATCTCCTATTCTGCTTACAAACACAATATGGTATGGATCAAACATGTTCTCAGCATTGATAATTGCAGCCCCTTAGGATTAACATGAGCACTAAACTTGTAATTTGTTACACAGTAAAAATAATTCAGTGTTTTAACTTGGTTGCCTTGAAAATGTGCTTGTATTATTTTATTATTATAAGAAATAAAATTTACCATGAGATGTTCAATGAACTCCAACCTTTAACGCCGCCAGGGAATCTCTAAATGTAAAATGATACATTTTGTCTTGATTTTTGAATTTCTAATGAGTGAACTGGATTTGAACTCTCTCTCTCCAGGTCACTCTCTGGCCGTATCGTTGGCGGAGTGTGGTGGTTCTTCACTCTGATCATCATCTCGTCCTACACAGCCAACCTGGCTGCGTTCCTCACAGTGGAGCGGATGGTGTCTCCCATTGAGAGCGCAGAGGATTTGGCCAAACAAACAGAGATCGCTTATGGAACATTAGATTCCGGATCCACCAAAGAGTTCTTCAGGGTAAGAGAGAGTTTCTTCACTAACAAGTCAACCATAGAAGAGTGTGTTTGATATGAGAGAGAATTATTTAGCAGTGTGGGGTGGGTTTGATGCTAGTTTGAGAGTGGACCCAAAAATCTTCAGCCAATGCCTACCAAACACATTTACATATGACCATCCATGGAGCCTAATGCAGTTTATCCCCACCCATTCAACCTATAGCAGGTTAGTCCCACCCATTCAGCCTACATCAGTTTAGCCTCGCCAATTTCACCTACAGCAGTTTAACCCCACCCATTCAGCCTTATAGCAGGTTAATCCCACCCATTCAGCCTTATAGCAGTTTTGCCAGCCATTCAGCCTACAGCAGTTTAGTCATTCAGCCTACAGCAGTTTAGCCCCACCAACTCAGCCTACAGCTGTTTAGCCCCATCCATTCAGCCTACAGTAGTTTAATCCCACCCATTTAGCCTTATAGCAGTTTAGCCTCACCCATTCAGCCTACATCAGATTAGCCCTGTGCCTTTCTTCCTACAACAGTTAAAATGTTGTTACACAGACTTAGGTAAATTGACGTAGGTAAAAAATATATATATTCAAATATTAATTCATATATTGTTTCTTTCTCCGTTTCTGCAGCGTTCTAAAATCGCTCTCTTTGACAAAATGTGGACGTACATGCGCAGCGCCGAGC